TGAGACACGTTACCCGAGATGTCTCGTGATAGTTGACGCCACACATAAGAATTCACTGATGAGTGGCGGAGGAAGACATTTCACAAAGCTCTGAGGTTTCTCCTCAGCAGATAAGGAGGTCTTTGCTTCATCCACCTGCTTCTCCTTCTGCCCGAGGGCCGTAAACCACAGCACATGAAACAGATCGATGATGGCGCACAGCAGCTGCCAATCCAGATTCCTGCCAATTAAAAACAGACATATGTAACAAATATGTAACTGATGAAAATCATCATTAAAATATCAAAATAAAAATTAAAATATCAAAATAAAGAACCAAAATTTAACAGCAAACCTTAATTTAAGGCTCACCTTTTTTCAACTATTTGCATTATCCAGGTTAGGAGCCCAGAGGTCTTGGTGAGGTTATGCGCCGCTTTGGTCACATGAGCAGCCTGACACAACACCCTGATGATCTGTGCCTAAAAAGTGAGAAATACATGTACAAGATATTCTTATTTTTCCTGTTTGTGTACATTTCAGAGAATCACGCACCTTATCCTCAATAATGTGTTCGTTTTCAGAACTTTACGGTGGTACTTTCTGATCTCTTTCTTCATTATGTGAAGGATTTGGCTCTATAACCTACTAGTGTAATGAATAACTATCTTATTATTGGTGTTTTTCATTATACGCAGTAATAGCTGAGTAATGTGTAGTCCATTCTGCGCAGAGTTGTTATAGTTTTTTCTATTTTCTATTGAGTTTTTATCTTGTTTAGATTTTTTTAAATTCATTTTAGCTTCAATAGGTTTTCAGAGTGGGTTTGCTTGTTTCAGGTTAGTTTTTAGTCCTCAGACGTCAAATGCTGATGGGGTATTGTCGTCACCTCAGCCGGGACGAACAAGTGTGAATGCGATAACTTGAGAACGAGGTGAAGTATGAGTTCAAATCTCAGTGACCTCGACCTCAAGTTCAGAGGTCAAGTTTTCTGAAAATTCTGTGAATGCGTTAACTCAAGAAGAAAGTCACCTAGGATTTCATATTCATACAATAGGTGCATCTACTAGGAGGCTGAGGGGTAGCACTGGTAACTGCTAGTATTTTTATTATTTGAAAATGTTTAGTTTTACTTTCATTTTTATCAATTGTATCAGTTTCAGCGTTAGTTTAAGTCCTTTTCTTTATTAATATCACAGCAGTTATATGCTAATGGTAGCATTTAGTATGGCTATTACAATAAAAACAACTTTTTAAAAGCAGCTAACACAAAGTCACACATCCATAGTCACAAAAATTGATCAAGGGCTCATCAGACAACTTAATTATATTAAGTAAATAACAAATTGTGCCAAACTAACATTAATACTAAAACTAAGGATATTTCTTCTATATTTTTATTTTAGTTTTCCAAGTTCAAAAAGATTATTTCAGTAGTTTTTGTTTTTTAAACAATCTGGTTTTTATTTTTACTTTAGTAAACTATCATTTGTTTTCATATCCAGTTTTAGATTTTAAGTTTAGCCGTAGTTAACTATAATAACTTTTGTTCTGCATGCAAACTAATTTTCTAATCTTTTCGAGCCCCAAAAACAACAGTTTCCTGAATCCACCGGGTACAGCATGATGTTTTCTTTCCTTCTCATCACACAAAATAAGTTGCTGGGTGTGCAAAGAGGCAAAAGCAACTGCATTAAGTTGGCCCCAGAGATCCACCTGAATAGTGAACTCCCCCAAAGCTGGCAGCAAAGGGGTCAGATTTGAACAGTTTGCTAGAAATGACTGAAATCACAGCAGCTCATTTGCTCCCGATCTCACCATATTCTTAGCATCCTCCTCTATCACACCAACCCTGTACATATCCTCCTTTAGTACATCCATAAACCTTCTGTTACAGAAGTGACTATAAAATAGATTCAAGGAGAAAGCACATGTCCTAAAGACACAGGAATATGTTTGACATCTAGAACATAGATGGATAAATTCCTGTTTGAACGACGTGGTAATGTGGAAACATTTGAGTGTACCATGAGTCGTCTGAAATGGTTTTCAACCAAGAACCAATTAACCAGCAAATCCTAATCTTATTCTATGTAGAATCATATTATGCACTTATACACGTGTGAAACTGGTTGCTGTAGGGGTTGAATTTAAGAACATAGACATCAAGTCTTGCTTAGAAAGAAATTGATAGCATGGTAAATATTTTGACACAAATCTATGCCCTTGGAGGAAACTGTATCAGTGAGAGCATATTCACATAAATCAGCAAGAAAGACAAGCTCACTGTCATGCCAAACCTTGAACAGTTACAGATATAAAAATGCTGTCAGGAGAGAGATTAGTGAGACAAAACAAACCATAAAGGCCCTGGTTGGTCTGAAAATGTTAATATATCACCCAATCGTAATACAAAAGTTTGAAAGGCTCAATCTTCCTTTAGACTTAACTTTTTTAGGACATATTGTCTTGATCTAAAATGAAGATTCCTTCAAAACGCAACTAGAAAAAATGGTGACACAACTACAGACAGACAAGCGTGTACCTGGAAGTGTTCATCACACAGAGGGCTGCTGCTGAAGCCTAAAAGGATCTGAAAGATGCCTTGCTGGTTGCACAGGTCATAGCAGTGTCCATCTTTCATCCCTTGCTCCAGCACGCTTACAATCCACTCACGTTCCACCTTGTGCTGCAGAAAGAAAGAAAACACAAACAGTCACGACTCCCACGTCTTTCAACCCTTCACAAAAACAGATAACAGTCTAAAAAAAAGGCCTGAGCTAAGCAAACAAACTGATAAAGGTTGCTCATTCAAGAGGATTTTATTTGGACAGTCATTTAAGTTCAAGGAAGCGTCACCAATCATGTTTAATACCAGACGGCACCAGAATACAAAAACAGTGTTTTCACCAGTTTCTTTACCTCCAAGTCAAAGCTGTAGAAAAGCTTAAAAAACTCAGGGACTCTTCTGAAGTCCAAACTCTGGTGGGATAGCAGAAATCTGTTCAGCACCACGTACATGTGGTCCTCTGGGAAAAGCGAACAAACATGTGAAGGTCAAGGATTCTTTTGTTATTACAGGAGAAGGTAGATAGAAAAACAAGTGCAAACCATGACTGTGATTCTTATTCAGGATAGATTAGCCTAAAACCTACTTTCAACCTAAAAAGCATCTCTTAGTAAATAATAAGTGTTATGTTAGCAGAAAGATATTCAAGTTTTCGGGGTTACACACCAGGTTTGAGCATCTGCTGAGCCACTTTGGTGATGTAAGTGGTCATGACAAATGGGAGTCTTTGATTCTGTTGCTGAATTCCATTTTTTACCATGTCCATCAAGTAGAGCAGCTGTGAGACAAAAACAAGCCTGTTAGTGTTTCCAAACACACAACATTTACACATACACACACACACACACACACACACATAAGATTTCTCTAATATTTTACCTGTCTCTTTTCTCTGAACTGAGCACCCTCCAGATGTTGGTAGAAGCAGCTAAGCACGTGGTACGCTGCCGCCCTCACCTTTGGATCATAGCTACTCAGGGCCATTACAGTTACTCCAAGAGCGTGGCTGGATACAAACTTCAGGCAGTCAATAACACATTCTGTCACAGAGGAGGAAATATGCAACAGATATAAGAAGTGATCATTTAAACTAATTATACTGAGTGACGACAACCAGTGAAATATGATACCTGGCCGCAATATGGCGCTGAACAGAGGCAACAGAAAACATGGATCGTACAAATTCCCAAGGTCTTTCACTTTATTATTATTGTAGAGAGGCTCCGTGCTTTCCTGAGAGAGGGTAAGAACATGTACATTACACAAACATATAATGCAGTGTGTCATTTACCACTAATAGACACCGATCAGGCATAACCTTATCTTTTGCTGCCAGCGCAGCCCTGACCCGTCTGGGCATGGACTCCACTAGACCTCTGAAGAATCTGGTGGAATCCATGTTAGCAACAGATCATTTAAGCCCTGTAAGTTGCAAGGCGGGGCCCCATGAATCAGACTAGTTTACCCAGCACATCCTACAGATGCTTGATTTGATTGAGATCTGGAGAATTCAGAGGACAATTCAAGTTTCAATCTTGTAGTTGTGCTCCTCAAACTACTCCTGAACCAAAGCATTTGTGGTGCATTATCTTGCTGAAAGAGGCCTTTTTCCATGAAAAACTGTACATGGTCTGGAACAATGCTTAGGTAGGTGCTACGTGTCAAAATAACATCTAAATGGATGGCAGGACCCAGGGTTTCCCAGCTAAAGATTTCCCAAAGCATCAGGCTGCCTCCGCTGGGTTGCCTTTTTCCCCATAATGCATCCTGGTGCTAGCTGTTCCCCAGGTAAGTGATGCAGCTAGCCATCCGAGGTCCAGTTGTGATGCTCATGTGCCAATTGTTGGTGCCCCTGACAGCAGGCAGGGGTCAACATGGGCACTTTGACTGGTCTGCAGCTGTGCAGCCCAATACACCAATCTATGATAAACTGGGCATTCTGACACCTTTCTATCAGAAACAGCATGAACTTTTTCAGGAGTTTGACCTATAGAAGTTTATCTGCTGGAACGGAAATCAGGGACCAGGGATCAGAATTTGGCCCTTGCTAAAATCCACAACTGCCAATTTTTCCTCCTTCCTCCAAATCAACTCTAAGGACAAAATGTTCACTTTTTCCCTCATTGATCCCACCCACTAACAGACGGCATGATAAACACATAATAAGTGTTATTCACTTCATCAGTCAGGGGTCATAATATTATGCCTGATCGGTGTAAATCTGAAAAGTAAATATGATGTAAAACATTAACCTGCGGGATGATTTTGCGCTGCTGTGGAAAGTGTGCAATAGTTTGCAACATCTTGTCAGGTTTGAGGAGAGCCAACAGGTCATCTGAGCTGGTCTGCTTCCACAGAGAAGCTCCCAGGCTTTTACTGGTCTTGTGGTGCTCCACTGCTGTTGGGCCCCACAACAATGACCTGCAGTTGAAAACTCACACTGAGTTTTTGTATTAAACAAGCACACTTCTAGCATTTGGAACATAAAAAGATGAATTCAACCTACTGGAACTTCAGCAGGCTGACTTGATTTCTTTCATATTCCTGAAGAAGCAGCAACAATTTTTGATCTGCAAAACAGAAGAAGATATAAGAGGATAAGACAACAATAAAAACTCAAAAAAAGAAGAAAAAAGAAAACAGGTTTTCTTATTTTACCTGAAGTACTCAGCGTAGCTCCGTATGCTCCCAAAAGTACAACAAAATGATTGATGTTGCAGACACTCGGGCTTTTCTTCACCAGACAGAGTAGGAGGAATACCAACTCTTCTAAAATGACAACAAATGTGTGTATTTGTGATTAATTTGTGATTTGGAATCTTTTTAAAAAAAAAAAACTTTATTGCATTGTACCTTTAATCTGGCAGCTGTTAGACTCTTCAGAGTCCAGCATGGTGGGCAGGAACAGAGAATGGCTGGAGATCATTGTGTAAAGAGTGGGTAAAGGTATCAGGTCCTTTTGAACCTCAGTGCCACAATACATCACTTCCAACAGGCTGCTCAGAGTGTTCAGGAAGTGGTGATCTCTGTAGCGATATCTGAAAGATTTAAGAATATTTTACAGTCACTCAGCAAAAGTTCTGAAACATTAAATAGCAAAATGGATTTAAATAGATAACCTACTTTAGTCCATTTTTGACAAAATTGTTCCACTCAGATGCAGTGATGTCTTCTTTCGATATCTGTATAAAGAAAGTAAGTTAGGAAATGCAAAAAGTTTAAAACTTACAAGATGTATGCGTGAAGTAAACCCACTAGGACTCGCTGTAGTCTTTTTAAGATGCTGTGCTCCTGCTCTAATGGGGAAGTAGCCTGATCTTTCGAGTGACTGTAAGAGGCAATGAGACACTTGATAGCTGCAGTGGCGACAGACTTCCTCCATTTTTCCTGTTCTTCTGGGCAATCAGCCAGCTTGTCACTGATAACATCTACTAGTTGCCATCTGAAAGAGCAAAGAATATTCATCAAATACATTTTGACAGGATCGTTTATTTATTTTTTGTAGTTTTGTAGTGTATAATATAAATTTCACCTTTCAAAACTGTCCACATTTTGAAGAGCACTGGGAAGACTGTTGATCAAATCCCTGATGTCCTTGCTGTTTGCAGAGAGTTTTATCAAACTGCCTAGAGTTTCCGTAAGCTGGGCTCCGGACTCCTCTGTCAAGTTTCCCAGAACACACTGGGAGAACTTGGCAAGCAACACTTGCTTCAAGGCTTTCAAAATGTCTTTTTGCACTATGAAACAACAGCAGCCAAGCATATCTCAATTAGTATATCTATAGCAATACGAGATAAAAGAGTAACAATTATTGGTTTCAGTACGTACCATCTTTGGGTCTGGCTGGGTCCTCTCTGCTTGCCACACGTAAGTACATATTAATCAGTGGAAGGAAGGCTTCTGATTGGTCAGAAAGCTTCTCCATGTTTTCAGGTTCAAGACACCACATCTCAAACCGGAGCCGGTGAGTGGAGCAGTTCTGCAGCAGGAGAGAGCTGATAGCTAGGGAGTCTGAGAGTGGTCTTTGGAGACAGTGCAACAGCACATCTGTGTGGAGGAGCTTTGCACTGCTTGGCTCACTGGATAGAAACTGGAGCAAGAATGCCTCCAGTGCAGGCTTGGAACAGGACAGCAGCAGTGTGCCCAGACCAAAGAGGTGTGCCTGTGTCAGAAATGTGCCATGGTCCTGGGAGGCCGTATATTTACACTCTGTGAGGATCTGTAGAGCTGCCTGACCGTAAATGCTGAGCTCAAACTTTGCCCCCTTACTGCTACTGGGGGAGATGAGGCTGTTGTGTGGGAGGAGAAGCAACTTGGAGACAACTTCCCTCAAATTACTGGAATCCATGTAGTTGTGCAGAGACAGGAGGCCCTGGAAAGTTCTGGAGTGTTTCTTTGCCGGTTTAGAGCCCTTCTCCACCAATTCCTGAAGAGCAGCTCTTTCTAAAGCTCCCATGTAACTCCTCAGAAGCTCTAGATGATTTAGTTCTTGAAGAACAGGGGCACAGAGCTTCAGGAGGACCAGAATATTATCTGTCATCAGTGAACACAA